ACGTGTATTACCTTCTTCATGTTAAGTAAGGGATAATGTGCAGCAACACGGTCATTATTGGGAAAAGAACACGGACAGGCTGATCAGGAGGCCGACGCGAAGCGGAGGGATCTAGTGTGCCTTTAACGACTGGTTTTCGGACCCCCCCAGACCCCCCCAATAAAGCAAAAATGCATGTTTCAGAGTGGCCTTTTATTGTGGCCAGCCTCAGGCACACCTGTGCAATAATCATGCTGTCTAATCAGCATCTTGATATGCCACACCTGTGAGGTGGGATGGATTATCTCGGCAAAGGAGAAGTGCTCACTATCACAGATTTTTTCAGATTTGTGAACAATATTTGAGAGAAATGGTTATTTTGTGTATGTAGAAAATGTTTTAGATCTTTGAGTTCATCTCATGAAAAATGGGAGCAAAAACAAAAGTGTTGCGTTTATATTTTTGTTCAGTGTATATTGATAAAAAACAGTATAATAGAGGACCTTTAAACACTGATCCTATCCTTTGTCATACTGTTCTCAGCAGGTTAACCAAGACCTTCACTTTGACAGACTACGAAGATTTCACGTTTTCGTGGAATGCCGTTCACTTGGTAACGTCGTTTGACATGAAACAGGAACTTGGTGTTTAGGGTTGACTGAAAGTGCACAAAACGTGGCACACTCTCACAGTGCTAAACATAGTTATCTGATTAATGTTATTGTGTTTGAGTATGGCAAGGGGGTTCATTAGCGCATCCTACAAAACTTTAAAAAAGCAGTCCTCGCTGTACTTTTCAACTAGATGTACGATATATGCCTGGCTGCACAAGAACACATCAAAGAAATATCCTGTCCATTATTTGTCTTAAGTGTTTATCTTGGCAGTCCAAAATGTGCATGTGAGACTTCTTCTGAATGGAGCTGATGTTATTTATGTGACTTATACCTGTGTGTAGTCCTACCTGCCAGAGGAAGTAGAGGGCCAGAACCACCTGCAGAGGGGCGGACCATATCATGTTGATGTAAGTGATTAGGTCCATGAAGCGCTGAGCATCCACTGACATCAGGTTGACGATCTCTCCAACAGTGGAGCTGCGGCGTGCTGCACTGCTGATAACTAAAGCCTGAAAGCGCAGACACAGGGGCGAGTTAGAGCCCCGCTGTAGAGTCACAACCCAAACCTGCACACACCTGAACAGGAGAATTATACAGCCATTTATGAAATCTGATTTACATCAACACGGTTTCACAAACACAGCTCTCTGGTTGAGTAAAGGCGGACTGATTCCAAAATAAATATTATGTTATTGTAAATAGTCATTCACTTGGAAGTTTGTACTAAAAATATTAAATTAAGTATTATATCAAGCAATAACCTATATTCCCTACCTCTGTCATATTTCCATAATTCAAAGTAACATTCCATTTCCTTGTACCTTCCTGTAGACGGCTCCGATGATAGCAGTGCGCAGACGCATGCCTGAGACAAAACACACGTGAAAGTACTTCTGGAGGATGATGGACTGCACACAGGTACACATGAAGAGCAGGGCGGTATAGAAGAAGCCCCGCCAGGCGGGGGCGCTGGAGTCGTTGACGAAGCGGATCAACAGCCTGCACGGGATCGAGGGAAGAAAGTCATCATTAGGTATACGTTTACATTAAGTAAGCCGATTAAGCTAATAAATCGCACCTACAAATATCAAAGATGAAGAGAAATATTTTTAAATCTTCCACAATTGAGATGTAAGGTTGCCACGGTTAAGTACATCTTCATGAGTATAATTTTTCTAACGTCTAGCATCTGTGTCTTCTCTCTAATCGACTAGGGGAGTGGCAGAAGGCAGCTCTCCTTCCAATTCAAAATAATGAAACATTGAAAACTGAAAGAATATCGAAAATAGATAGCTTGGGGCATCGCCAGAACATAGTATGGCAGGTTCCTGTTTGCATTGAACGTAGGACGGCTTCAGGTCAGGCTTAAACCATGTTATCTTCTCATCTATGGAGCTGTCCATAATGATAAATTCAGTTTGAAAAGGTGGCGCTGGGATTGAGGTTTTGATGTCCTTAAACATTGTTACATTGCTTCATTTTTCAGAAGGTTCGGTTTAACTCACACAGACAGACCACAAACGCTCTATAAACTGTAAAAAAAAAAAAAGTGACAAGAAAAAACGCAAATCCCGGCAATTCCTACTGTAGCCCCTACCATTGAGCAGGTTATTTTCATGCTGCTGTTTATCTGGAGAGCAGGTCGGCGCATATGATTATATAATCAGACAACGTGCGTTAAAAAACATTATACCTAACACATATAATGGGTACATCCCAATTGACTATCTCGCCTCCTCCTTTCCCTCACTCGCGCCTCTTCCTTGCGTCTTAGCTCTGCCTCCGTAAGATACAAGCGAGAGACACAATGACAGAGGAGTCCTCTGTATGGTATGAGTTGGGATGTCCGCATTCTCTCCAGCATCTCCCTAAACGATGCTGCAAAGTCCACCACCTGTCACTGGACTTCACTCCACACCAATCCCTTCAAACCTGGGATTTAGTTTCACACTGAAAGGATTTCGTCCATCTCTTCTATCCATCTCTTTTATTATAGTTTTCAATTGATTATTTTCGGTCCTGTATTTGTTTTTCCAGGTTTAAAATGCTTTCGTATTGGATGTTGTTATTTAATTTCTCCTACAGAAGATAGTCCAGCAGCAAGTCCTCAAAAAAGGCTTTAGTTTTCGAGATACCGCTACCCAAGGTAGAACAAATGACAACAATGATTTTTCTTACACTGAACAAAAATATAAATGCAACACTTTTGTTTTTGCTCCCATTTTTCATGAGATGAACTCAAAGATCTAAAACATTTTCTATATACACAAAATAACCATTTCTCTCAAATATTGTTCACGAATCTGAAAAAATCTGTGATAGTGAGCACTTCTCCTTTGCCGAGATAATCCATCCCACTTCACTGTTCAGGGCAGATGGCAGACAGCGTGTGTGGCGTTGTGTGGGTGAGCGGTTTTCTGATGTCAATGTTGTGAATCGAGTGGCCCATGGTGGTGGTGGGGTTATGGTATGGACAGGCGTATGTTATGGACGACGAACACAGGTGCATTTTATTGATGGCATTGTGAATGCACAGAGATACCGTGATGAGATCTTGAGGCCCATTGTTGTGCCATTCATCCACGACCATCACCTCATGTTGCAGCATGATAATGCACGGCCCCATGTTGCAAGGATCTGTACACAATTCCTGGAAGCTGAAAACATCCCAGTTCTTGCATAACCAGCATACTCACCGGACATGTCACCAATTGAGCATGTTTGGGATGCTCTGGATCGGCGTATACGACAGCGTGTTCCAGTTCCTGCCAATATCCAGCAACTTCGCACAGCCATTAGGGTTAGGGTTAGGGTTAGGGCTAACCCTAACCCGGAGTGGACCAACATTCCACAGGCCACAATCAACAACCTGATCAACTCTATGCAAAGGAGATGTGTTGCACTGCGTGAGGCAAATGGTGGTCACACCAGATTCTGACTGGTTTTCGGACCCCCCCCAGACCCCCCCAATAAAGCAAAACTGCACGTTTCAGA